GTAGTCGGGATCACCCGGTGAAGTCGGTGAAAGCGGAGGAGTAGAACTCGGCGACCGATCCCAATGCGCAGAAGACTCGGCGTCCGCCTGTACGCTGACGTCGGCGTCGGAGACGTTTTCGACGACAATCTTCCGCCTCTTGCTCTCCCCAGGCTGAATAGCACCAGGGAGAGTGAGCACAACCGCCACCGCATCGTGTGCGTCGTTGCGCATGCCACGATCCGTAAAAGACGCGCCAACGGCAATGGAGCAGAAACGGGCGACTGCTCCGCAGACCGCGACGTGGTCGCCTTTGAGGTCGGCCGGAGTGGCATGGACCTCCCAGAGCTTCTCGTCGTTCTGCTGGCGCTGGTAAGCCTCCCGCGCCTCCTGGAAAGTGAGGTTGTCGTCGCCGACTACAAGCAGAACGACTGCCTGGCTCAGATTCTCAAGAATCTTTCCCAGGCAGTCCAGGTGCAAGCGGAGATTGCGAACTGTCCGCTTTCGAGTCTGGATGGTCGGCGGTTTCTTGCCGCACACGATGTGCATGTTGGCGATCACCACGTGGAACTTGTCATGGCCTGGTTTGTTCACCTCAAAATGTGAAATGACAGCATCAATCTCTCGGCCGCTAGGAGGCCTGTAAACTTTGCTGTCTTCGCACAGAGTCAGTTCCGCAGGCTGAGAAGCACCGCGGAACCCCCAGAGAGTCAAGTAGTTGTCGACCTCCGAGAAGCGAATGCCATCACCGAAAGGCTTACTGAGGATCTCTGTCACGTTGATCCCTGCTCGGCGAAAGCCTTCACGGAACGCACCGACCTCGCAGCCACAGACAATATCAGCATCAGCGGTCTCCACTATCGTGGCGCACACCCTTCCGAAGTTAGCGCAGTGAGTGGCCGCCTGCTTACCAGTCATCATGCCCTGCTCGAACCCGAAATTGAACGAGGCGACCGTGAAAGACGCAGGCTGCACAGCGCCAGAACCAGGCGTCTGTCCACCTTCCTCCGCAGGCTGAGAAGCACCGCGAGGCGGCGCAGGCTGAGAAGCACCGCGAGGCGGCGACACTTCGGACGAGCCTCGCGGAGCAGAGGCTGCGGATGAACGTTGGGTATGGGGGTACGGCCAGGGGAACGCCATTGCAATCGAAACTGAGTGGACTGCAGTGAGTGAATGCAGTGGCACGATTGAATGCAGTGGACTGCAGTGTCACTAGCAATTCCTGAACCAAACACGGCTGTGGCGGAAGGACTACGAAGCGTCTGGCTATTCAAAATGTGGCCCGGGAATGTAGTTCTGGGAACTCGAAGACCAGGAAGTGGCCTACAGTTGGCTCCGGGCATCCAAAATGTGGCCCGGGAATGGAGTTCTGGGAACTCGAAGAGCACGAAGTGTGTGACTGTTGCATCCGGCCCTCCAGAATGTGGCCCGGGAATGGCGTTCTGGGATGTCGAAGAGCACGAAGTGTGTGACTGTTGCATCTGGTTATTCTAAATGTGGCCCGGGAATGGCGTTCTGGGATCTCGAAGAGCACGAAGTGTGTGACTGTTGCATCCGGGTATTCAGAATGTGGCCTGGGAATGGAGTTCTGGGAAGTCGAAGAGCACGAAGTGTGTGACTGTTGGTGAAAAACGAGCCCGGCACCCTGCCGCCCGGCAACTCCCCAACACCTGCCCGGACCCCCCTGTGGAGTGATCTGTGAGCTCTTTTGAGACCACTAGAAACCTATCAGTCTTCGCTGTTAGTAATCATTGATTTTCCTTCGGTTTTTCAAGGATTTTGGCATGTTCTTCTTTTCAGCTCTCCGACGGCCCAAGACGGCCCAAGAGGTCCCCAACATCGCCCCAACAGCACCCAAGAGGCCTCCAAGATGGTCCCATGACGGCCCAAGAGGCCCCCAAGAAGGCCCCAAGAGGGCCTCAAGACGGCCCAAGAGGCCTCCAAGACGCCCAAGATGGCCTCCAAGACGGCCAAGATGGCCCAAGATGGCCTCCAAGATGCCTCCAAGGCCAAGATGGCCTCCAAGACGGGTAAGATGGCTCCAAGATGCACCCAAGACGGTCCAAGATGGCCTCAAGATGGTCTACGACGGCCCAAAAGGCCCGCAAAAGGCCTCCAAGACGGCCCAAGAGCCCTCCAAGACGCCCTCCAGGAAGGCCCGAATAGGTTAAAATCATTGATTTTCCTTAGGTTTTTGAAGGATTTTGGCATGTTCTTCTTTTCAGCTCTCCGACGGCCCCAGACGGCCCATGAGGTCCCCAACATCGCCCCAACAGCACCCAAGAGGCCTCCAAGATGGCCCCATGACGGCCCAAGAGGCCCCCAAGACGGCCCCAAGAGGCCCCCAAGACAGCCCGAAGGCCCGAAAGGGTCAAAATGGCCTGCAGACGGCCAAGAGGACCTTCAAGATGCCCACGTGTTCCCAAAAGGCTTTTCTAACCGATTCGGGGAACACATGGTCCGATAGCTTGGCAGATCTGGCCTCAACGTTCGGCCACATAGGCGCTTCCAAAAAGGCAGGGGGCGGCGGTGATTCGCCGTAGGCGTCTTCGATAATATCGGAGGTTGGGGGGTGAGTTCGAAATGAAATGGAGACCCCTCCTACCGGGAAATCGATTTCGGTTTCGGGTTCGTGTCGTGCGTGCCGTGCGAGCGCGCGTGCGGGCGAGGCGAAGCTGCGTGGGCGGGCGAGAGGAAATTCTCCTGTGGCTGGGCCGCGGCCGGACCAAATGTTTCTCCTCTGGCAACCAGTGGCCCGCGGTGTCCCGCCGGTGTCCCGCTGGTGTCCCGTGATGTGACGTGGTGTCCCGTGGGGACCCGTTGAGTGAGATCGACCGTGAGATCGATAGTGAAATCGATGTGGTGCCCCAAGGTGCCCCGTGGTGTCCCGTTGAATGAGAATAGATAGTGAGATTGATGGTGAGATCGACAGGTGTCCCGTGGTGTCCCGGAGTGTCCCGTTGAGTGAAATCGATAGTGAGATCGATACTGAAATCGATGTGGTGCCCCGAGTTGTCCCGTGGTGTCCCGCTGAATGAGATCGATGGTGATATCGATACTGGAATCGACAGGTGTCCTGAAGTGTCCCGTGGTGTCCAGCTGACTGAAATCGATAGTGAGATCGATCGTGAGATCGATGTGGTGTCCCGAGGTGTCCCGTGGTGTCCAGCTGAATGAAATCGATAAAGAAATCAAGAATGAGATCGATAGTGAGATCGAGAAATGACCCGCGGTGTCCCGTGGTGTCCCGTTGAGTGAAATCGATTGTGAGATCGATAGTGAGGTCGATTGAGTCAAGTGTCGGTTTCCCCCCCTCTTCCCCCCCACCAACTCCTTATCGCCCGAAGGGTGGTCGTATAGGTATAACTATATCGGAGTTCGGGGGGTGAGTCCGAGATGAAATGGAGACCCCTCTTACCGGGAAATCGATTTCGGTTTCGGGTTCGTGTCGTGCGTGCCGTGCGTGCGTGCGGGCGAGGCGAAGCTGCGTGGGCGGGCGAGAGGAAATTCTCCTGTGGCTGGGCCGCGGCCGGACCACATGATTCTCCCCGGCAACCAGTGGCCCGCGGTGTCCCGCCGGTGTCCCGCTGGTGTCCCGAATTCTCATGTGGCTGGGCCGCGGCCAGACCAAATGTTTCTCCTCTGGCGGCCGGTGGCCCGCGGTGTCCTGCCGGTGTCCCGCTGGTGTCCCGTGGTGTCCCGTGGTGTTCCGTCGACCGAGATCGATCGTGAAATCGATAGTGAGATCGATACTGAGATCGATGTGGTGCCTAGGGGGGTCCCGTGGTGTCCCGTTGAGTGAGATCGATCGTGAGATCGATGGTGAGATCGACACGTGCCACAGGGTGTCCCATGGTGTCCCGTTGAATGAGACCGATCGTGAGATCATTACTGAGATCGATGTGGTGCGCCGAGGTGTCCCGTGGTGTCCCGTGGTGTCCCGCTGAGTGAGATCGATAGTGAGATCGATACTGACATCGACAGGTGTCCCGACGTGTCCCGTGGTTTCCCGTTGAATGAAATCGATAGTGAGATTGATCGTGGGATCGATAGTGAGATCGATGTGGTGTCCCGAGGTGTCCCGTGGTGTCCTGCGGTGTCCCGTTGAGTGAGATCGATAGTGAGATCGATACTGAGATCGATCGTGAGATCGAGAGGTGTCCCGCGGTGTCCCGTGGTGTCCCGTTGCCTGAAATCGATAGTGAGATCGATGGTGAGATCGACAACTGTCCCGTGGTGTCCCGTGGTGTCCAGTTGAGTGAGATCGATAGTGATATCGATTGAGTCAGATGTTGATTCCCCCCCTCTCCCCGCCACAACCTCCTTATCACCCGAAGGGTGATCGTATGGGTATATATAGATATGAACTGCCGCGGGCATCTACCTCGATCGAGAAGAAGAGGAGAAGGACGAGGAGGAGGAAGAGGAGGAAGAGGAACAAAAAACAACACATATTTCGTCGTCGCCGCCGATGTCTCACAGATTTTCGTGGTCTTTCGACCACCCGAGGCATCTTCTCGGATTCAGCCTCTAGGAAACGTTTTCGGTGCCGGGGACTTCCGCCGAAAGTGCGGGATGAGGATCGACCTCCCTGGCCGGCGCCACCCCTTCGCAAAGGAAGGAACACGGGGTGGATCGAGGCTCAATGCATGAGACTCCTAGTTCTTCGGCGCTCGCCGACCCCTTTGGACCTTCAGGAAGCTCCTCGTCGACAGCTGGGTACCCTCTCGAACTTCTGACCGGACGCAACCCCAGCTGGGTCCCAACGATCCCCGAGCCTATCCAGGAGGTGGAAACGGAGGCCTGGGACAGGCCCCGTGAAGGCCCCAACAAACTCACATAAAACCGCGAAAAGCTTCAAAACAATCCCCTACAAGGCCCCCCCTTGAACCCACACGCTACGTAGGACAGGCCGAAACCCGAAGATTGCCCAGCGATCGCGCGCGTTCCGCGAATTCTGTCTTTCACTCTTGCTGCCGCCCCAAGGGGTCGGCGGTGCGGCGTAAGCCAATGAGTAAGAGAGGGAGAGAGAGAGAGAGAGAGAAAGAGAGAAAGGAACAGAAATAGAGAGAGAGAGAGAGACAGGGCCCGAGCGGTGCTGATCGGGCTGCCCGGCCCTGCGGCGGCAAGACACACGGCGGCTGCTGCGGTCTTCGGCGCGCGCTACACGCAGAAGTAAGCGCCAGGCAGGAGTGACATTTGGTGCGTGGCTTTAGGAGGCCGCGGGGCTGCAATTCCAGGCGCGCGAGCCAGTGCTGGGGGGCCCACTGTGGGCCCGCACCGCAGGTCATTCCGACGATGGGTCGCTCTGAGGAGGAGCCAGGCCTGCGGCGAGGGGTCTCCGGATTCACCGGCGAGGCATCGCCGGATCCACCCGATGCGTTTCAGCAATCGCTTACCCCAGTGCCGGCACGAGCCCCTCACTTCTTCTGGGCGCCGTGCGGCTTCCTCTCGATCTTCCCCCAGTCGGGCTGGCAGTGCGTGCCGTCGAGGCGGGTCGTCATGCACTTCGTCAGGCTCTTCTCCAGGAGGTCCACCTTCTCCGTGTCCTCTGGAGGCGCAGCAAAAAGATCATGAACACAAACTTCCGCAGGCCCGTGCAGACGTCTGGTTACCAGCCTCGAACGTATCCCTATCCCTAAGATTGACACGCCAAAAGGCGATGACAATCTTAGGGATCCACCCTGAAAAAATAAGGGAATCCCTAAGATTGGCATCGTGATGAGGAGGTGCCCAGCATAGGGATAGGGATGTGTTCCAGGCTGGTAATCTGGGGTCGACGCTGGAATCCCCCCCCCACGTGGCGCGCGAAGCGCGCCAAGGGCGCGCTTCGGAGGCGCCACCAGGGGGGGTCCAACGCCGACCCAAGGCATCTGCGCTGACCCCTGAACCTTTGTGGGCCCCGGAAACGGCAGGGCCGTTTTTTCACCGTTTCCAAAACCAGTGTCCATTGAAAATGGAAACGGCAAAAAAACGGCGACCGGAAACGGCAACAGAAACGGCTCCAGGATCGGAACTGGACCCGGAACGGGTCAAACAACGGCGACGGAACCGGTGAAAAAACGGCGTCGGAACCGGCAAAAAAACGGCAAAACGGAACTGGTAAAAAAACGGCCCTGTCGTTTCCAGGGCCCACTAAGCCCTGAACGCTTCTATCTGTGCGCATGTTGTTGAGATGTGGTCCTCCATGTTCGAAAACCATACCTCGAGGCGCACAGCCGGGTTGCGGCTCTTCAGCACGAGCTTGTCCACCAAGCGGACGCCGGTTATCATCTCAGCAGGCTCGATGGACCCGCCGACCATCCCGAGGATGATGTTGTTCCACTTCTCGTCTATGGGGCCCCCTCCGAGCGACGCGGGCAGCTGGAACTGGAAGTGCCCGCCAGTGGCGTTGGTCGGGTCCTCCCACTCGGGCTTGATGCCCTCGCGGAAGACCATGAGGGCGTCGACGATGCTGCGCGAGCCATCAGCTTCTCGCACGAACTTTTTCCCGTCGAGGAGCTCGCTGGGCTGTGGCAGGTGGTTCCTAAAGGGGTACACTGCATAAGCATAAAACTTTCGGAGCTCCGCGCGGATTTCTTGGATACGCACTGGACCCCACTCCCTGACGCGCGAAGCTCGCAGGGGCGGCGCCAGAGGCGCCGCCAGGGGGGGCCCAGCGCCGACCCAAGAAAACCGCACGAACCTCGGCAAATGGATGCTTATGCCGGTTTTTCTTCGTCGAGTTCCAGTACTTCCAGAAGCCCTTCACCGTGGAGAAGGTCGCGACGCGGTGCGTGGCGTCGGAATAGTCCTTGGCCTTGTCGGCTGGGTTCTGCGCGATCTGCTCCCAGATGGTCCACGTGTACCGCAGGGGCGGGTCCTTGCTCTTCATCTCCTCGAGGTCCGAGGCGCTGGGCTGCTGGAAGGAGCCGATGTCGGGAGAGATCTTGCTGTTGAAGCTCAGGAACTGGGGGGCCTTCGCCTCGGCCATGGTCCGCAGGGCGCGCTGGCCAGGGCAGGCGCCCCCTCACCAGCCCCAAAACCGCCCCCGCTCCCGCGCGGCGCGTTCCGAAGGCCTTCCACGCTGCTCGAGCCCCAGGGGGGAGCAGGACGGGGGGAGCAGGACGGGGAGGAGGGGGCCCCCCACGACCTCACCCCCCGGTCCTCGATTCCCCCACCGCCCCACCCTCGATGCGCGGTGCTCGGGGGGAGGGGGCGACACGCCTGGGCAGGAGCGGCGAACCCCCCACCCCTTGGCACAGCCTGAGCGGCAGTGGAAGCGGGCAGGAAGGAGTGGGGAGGGGGACGGGGGCAGGGGGGAGGAGGCGAGGGGGTAGGGAGGAGGAAGAGGGGAAGAGAAGGGGAGCGGGAGGAAGACGGAGAGAGCGAGCACAGGGGAAGCGGGAGCAGGAGCGGGAGGAGGAAGAAGAGGAATAATAATAATAATAATAATACTAATAATAATAATAATAATAATAATAATAATAATAATAATAATAATAATAATAATAATAGTAACAATAATAATAATAATAATAATAATAATAATAAGAAGAAGAAGAAGTGGGAGAGGCAGCCGGGAAGAGGAGGGGGATCGGGAGGAGGATGGGGAGCGAGCAGAGGGAAAGACGACAAGTCAGGTATACTCGCGCCATTTCGAACGTCCTACCCCTCCCTCCTATCCCTTCCGATTGTGCCGCTATTTTCTGTATATGCCCCAACGGGTGTCGTAGCAGACCAGGAGCACCCGAAAGGACCCCTATCGTGTCACGCGCAATCTGTAAATGGGGAGATGCCCACATATGAGGAGGTGGCGGATGCGCAGCAGGATGAGCAGGAAGGACAGTAGGAAACACATGATAATGAGGATGGAGGAGGCGGGCAGAGAGGAACTGCAGCAGCAAGAGCGGGAGGAGCGGGAGGGGCTGGAAGCCAAGGGGACCGGCGGGGGAGGGAAAAAGGAAGGGGATAACAGCCACTCGGATCCAAAGTGTGGCCCGCGCTGGGGAAGGAGCGCCATTCTGAACGAAGGGAGCAGAGCAACGCTCACAAAATGAGGCCAACGCTGCAGCGGGGGCACTCTTGTTGAAGGTTCGGATTAGAACAGCACAGAAAAAGTACACCTCGGAACTACCGTGCGTTCAGGAACAGTGCGGGGATGGGGGGGGCATTCTCAGGACATCTTCGGGCAAGAGGGGGAGTAGAACTCATAGTGTGAAACTGTAGGGCGGTGGCAAGGAGAACTGGGGATCCCCAAGTAGGGGCGGCGTCGCTAGCAACAACGGGTGTTCAAAGAAGGTCACGCCAGCCCAGTCCACCAGAAAAGCGAGCTTTCATCATAACATCGTGCTGATTGCTTGCGCGGTGAACTGTAGAAGTACTTGCTATGCTAATCAGCTCACTCCACCAGGGGGGGGGCGGTGAGCGGGAGAGGAACAACGGGGAGACGGAGACGGGGAGAGGCAGAGGAGAGAGGGGGGCCAGCGGGGGGGGAAGGATAGGGAGCACCGGGAGCAGGAAAGATGAAGAGGCGGGGGGGGCAGCAGAGACCGAGGGAACTGGGGCGCGCTACGAGGCACCCTGGCCGCCTCCAGCCCTCGGCGTCTCCCGAGGAGGGGCGCTAGGCCCGCTCGGGCTCTCTCCGAGGACGGGCGAGGCGACGGGGTATCACGAGCGGCGAGCATGGCCGCATCCGCGCCTGCGCGGTCTGGACTCCGCGATCCCGCGGATACGCAGTCACACGGGTGCGTTCCGCGCGGGGCATCCGCGAGAAAGCACGCAGTGTCTGCGGGGTCGCGGCCCAAGTGCCCGGCCCGCGAGGCCGCGGATACCGACATGTATTTCGCCCACGAGGATGGGGTTGCACAAGTGTGCGCGGAGATCCCGGAGCCCCCACTTGCGGTCGGGGTTCCGGCCCGGTGGTTCTTCTTGCTTGATGGATGGGTCGATCCTGGGACCCTGGGTTGTTGGCTCCCCGGGCGGTGACCCTGTACGGATCCCGGGCTCGAGGGGAGGCCAAGACGAAGCCATGACGAGGATCAATTCGGGTGAGAAGACATCGGGCATCTCTGAGATCCTGCGGCGCCTGGCAGGTGTATGGGGCGCCGCTGCCTTCTCAGAGCGTTCCAGAACGCTCTGCGAGCGCTCGGGCACGCTCTGGAACGGACTTCTCCTCGTCCCCGTCCGAGCGGAGGAAGCCCCGATCGACCCCCGGAGGCGGCCGGCGGCGGGGAGGCGGTCAGCGGCAGGTGCCGCGACGGGGAGGGAGCGCTCTCCGAAGGCCGCCAGGGGTCCCCGCGCCTCGCGCCGCCGATGGGACGGCGCGAAGGCCGCGCGGCCGCAGTCACCGCGGCACCCGGGGCCAGACGACGCCGACGCCGACGACGCCGACGCCGGCGCCAATGCCGACGACAACGACGACAACGACGATGAACGACAACAGCGACGACGCCGACGCTAACGACGGACGACGGCGACGACGGCGACAAACACGACGACGACGACGACGACGACGACGACGACGGCGAAGAAGGGCGAATAGAGGGGTGAGGAGCGGGAGGCTACGCCCGCCTTTCCCGCGAGCACTTCGCAGTGGTCATTTCCTGTCCACCAATCCTGGACCTTCCCCGGGTCAATCCAATACCGGGTCAGTCAGGATCCTGCAGTGTCCCTCAGGATGCCGCAGAATCCTGCAGGATTGCCGAAGGTCAGTGCACCTCTGGCGCTGCAGGATCCTGCAAGATACGGCGCTCCAACTGACCCCCGCTTGCATTGACCCGCCGTCTCTTGAGCCCCGACCTCCCTTCCCTGTCCTCGTCCTGGCCCCCCGCCCCCCCCCTTCCTTCTCCTCCTCCTCCTCCTCCTCCTCCTCCTCCTCCTCCTCCTCCTCCTTCCCCTTCCTCCAGAGCCCTGCCTCACGTCACCCCCACTTCCTCCCCCCATCTGCCCCTTCTTCGTATCCCTGGGCCCCATCGTCGCATGATCTGGCCGGGCCGCGCGCGTTCTCCCGCTTGACTGCGTACCCCGCGCCGTCGCGCGCGCGGTCCCAAGGCCAGCAAAAACAAATGTTTGTGTGTGTGTGTTTGTGTGTGAGTGCGTCGGCCATGTCGCGCTGCCGGAGCATTCTGCCCCTCCGCCCTCGGCTTCTCTGTTCCTCTGTCCATGCTCCCTCCCCACCGCACGGGCGGTCTTCGTCCCTCCATGCGTGGACGCTGTCCCGCGGGAAGTCCGCCTCAGCGGTCGACCCTGTCCTCCTAAGCCTGCCCCGCACGACTGGCCATGTGCTTCCAGCTGCCATGGTGGTTATAGCGCGACGACGCAGCGTGATCCCGCTTGAGGGCCCGGCCGTGCGTTTTTGCCTGCCGTTTTCGACCTCTCCGCCTCGTCAATGCGCGCGCGGCCGCGGCGACCGCCGAAACGTGTAAGTCAGAGTGAGGGGGCCGAACGGTCATTCATTGTCCCTGGGTGCGTGGCTGAAGTGTCGATCCGTGGTGAAGATTCTGCTTGTTGCGATGTTAATGTTGGTTGTTGTCGTCGTCCCACCCGCGTTCCGCCCGCGACACACCCTGCAACCAACGCCGCGACCCACCCCGCGAACCACCCGGCGACACGACCCGCGACCCACCCGCGACCCACCCCGCGACCCACCCCGCGACACAACCCGCGACCCACCCGCGACCCAACCCGCGACCCACCCGCGAACCACCCCGGTCACACCTGCGACCCACCCCGCGACCCACCCCGCGACTCACCCGCGATCCACCTGCGACCCACTTGCGGCTCACCTGCGACCCACCCCGCGACTCACCCGCGACTCACCTGCGACCCACCCTCGACCCACTTGCGACCCACCCGCGACCCACCCGCGACCCACCCGCGACCCACCCGCGACCCACCCGCGACCCACCTGCGACCCACCCACGACGCACCCACGACCTACCCACATGGGTTTAGCGAAAATGTGTGTGTACGTGTGTGTGTGTGTGTGTGTGTGTTGTGAGTGTGTGTGTGTGTGTGTGTGTTTGTGTGTGTGTTTGTGTGTGCGTGCGTGCGTGCGTGCGTGCGTGCGTGCGTGCGTGCGTGCGTGCCTGCGAGCGTGCGTGCGTGCGTGCGTGCGTGCGTGCGTGTGTGTGTGTGTGTGTGTTTGTGTGTGTGTGTGTCTGTGTGTGTGTCTATGTTAGGCGCGCGCGCCCTCTTTTCTGACATTCGACGACCTGTCGCTGCGCGTGGGGCTGCGACGCCAAAAGTGTGTGTGTGTGTGTGTGTGAGTGTGTGTGTGTGTTTGTGTGTTTGCTTATTTGTGTGCGCGTGTGCGTGCTGCGCCCTCTCCTCACCACCCGAACGTCTGCCGACTGCCGTGCGCTCCCCGGCCCGGTTGCAGTGTCCGATGCGCCGCAAGCGCGCCCAGCTTGCCCCGTCTCCCCCCCGTCTCCCCCCTCCTTTCGTCTGAGGAGGGCAGAGCGGCGGGATGCCCTCCGCTGGGGAAGAAGGTGAGGAAGAGGCAGACGGATCAGGAGAGACGGAGGGATAAGGATAGGTACAGAGAGAGAGAGAGAGAGACAGACGAAGAGGAGGAGAGGGTAGGCAAATCGAAGCCCGTGGAACCGCATCGAAACATATGAGAAGACCTCCCCCCGTCCCCCGAAGGGGGGGAGGGGGGAAGACGAGGGGGAGAAAGAGCAGGGGGAGAAGAGGAGGAGGAGGAGAAGGCCGGGAAAAAGAGGCAGGCCAACGCCCTCAAACACTTACGCATAACCTACCAGAGCCATAATCATTCCCCTCTGCTGCCTGCATGCCTGCCTCCTCCCCTCTCCTCTACTCGGGGGTGGGGGGAAGGGGGAGAAGGAGCAGAACAAGGAGACAAGGGGCGACGAGGAGAGAGAGGAAGGGAACGAGAAGGGATAAGACCCCAGAACCCCTGCTCTACGCACCACCTGTCTCGACCCTGTCTCCTCCTCCCATCTGCACACCCCCTCCCTTTCTCGCCATCGCTCGGAAGTCCATTCCCCATGCATTGTTCGATGTCGTGCGTGTTCATTTTTTTCGCAAGATGATCCAGGATGCTCCTCGATGGCCCCCGCCGAGAAAAATGCACAC